TTTCCTGACAAATTCGAATTATTAGTATTACTAGAAATAATGCCTGTTGCGGAAATAAATACAACGGGATCTAGAAAGAGGCTCTGGGAGAGTGCTCTGGGTTTGGGCAAACAGTGTCAGTTTCCTGTGGCGACCTCAGCAGGGTTTAATGACAGAGTCCACTGTTTTCTCCAGAGGGACTGATCTCTGCTACCTGAAGAGCATTTGTATGTTTGAGTTATCTGTAGCACTCACCTGGAGAGTGGTAACCATTGTTACCCATTCTCCTCTTCCCTATGAGGTATGTTATGCAACTGAAAATTCCAACTGCCTTGCGGGGGGGGGGGAGTTTGAGGTGTGGAATGGACTGAAGTCCAATCAGCTTCCATATGCAAAAGACCAGGTTGTCGCAGCAGTTGTGGTGTGGGCGGGACCCGGGCTTTGCCTTCTGATTGGTGGCGATATATGCTGAGGAGCAGTGCCATCAGCCATACACTAAGGGAGTGCATTTTAGAATTAGAACTTTGGCACCCACTATTCAATTATATATAAGGAGAGATATAAGGAGAGATTATTTACTTGAGACCGGGCAGGAGTGCAGGATGTCAGTGACAGAACGGCTGTGTGCATTTCTGTGTGGCAGAAAGTGCCGTCCTATTGCAGCCGACATACGGTGACCCCGGAGGGTTTTCAAGGAAAGAGAAGGTCAGAGGTGGTTTGCCATTGCCTGCCTCTTCATAACGATCCCTGTCTTCCTTGATGGTCTCCCATCCACGTACTAACGGGGGCCGACCCTGCTTAGATTCTGAGATCTGACAAGACCGGGTTAGCCCGGGCCATCCGTCAGGGCTGTGTATTTCTAGCCTACCACTGATGTACAGTATCAGAGATCACTGATGTGTTGTGGGGTTTTTTTTAAAAAAAAATTATTTCCCCTCTTGTAAAATAAACTAGACAAGTGTGAAATGATGGGATTATCAGGGGTTCTCGCATCTGTGCATTTAAACCCCTTGCAATCAATTTGCTTTCCAAACTGCAAATGTTAAATGAAAGCGCCTGTTCCGGGGGGAGGGGGGGGGACCCTTTCGCAATGATTGGAATCATTTTGAAGAAGATTTCAAGTAACATTTTCGCTGCTGCTCCCACACACACACATCCTTCAAACGCCTTCTGATTTGAATATTTATTATATTCGTTAATACGGATTTAAGTACTGAAAACCTCTATGCAAAATCAGCGTTATTAGACACTGGCCATCATTTGGTGGCTTACAGAATCAAGAACGATGCCTGGTGCAGGAGAGCCTGGAAACTTGAGTTAGTTGCGTGAAATCTCCCCGGGGCGGGGGAGGGGGGTGCTCATCCATTTTTTCGGACAGCTACAATGATGGATACAGTGAAGGATGAGCAGTCCCAAGTTGTGACTTCTCCTTCGGACAAAGTTTCAGAGGATAGCCATGTTGGTTTGCAGTAGAAATCTAGGTTCGAGTCCAGCCGCACCTTAGAGACCAACTAGATTTTCAGGGTATAACCAGGGCTCTTTTTGTAGAAAAAGCCCAGCAGGAGCTCATTGGCATAATAGGCCACACCCAACAGCAGAACCTCATTAGCATATTAGGCCACACCCCTGACAGCACAGCTCATTAGCACATTAGGCCACACCCCCATGTTACCAGAAGTGTGGTCATCCAGCCACACCCACCTTTTGCTTGTTATTCTGTTTACCTTGTTTGTTGTCCAAACCCAGGGCTTTTTTGTAGCAGGAACTCCTTTGCATGTTAGGCCACACACCCCCTAATGTAGCCATCCCTAATGAGTTCCTGCTGTTGGGTGTGGCCTATTATGCTAATGAGTTCCTGCTGGGTGTGGCAAACTTGGGAGCCAGCCGAAACAACTTGGGAGCCAGCCGAGATTGGATGATACTTTTACAAGACTGTTGCAAGTGGAATGAGAAAAGCATCGGTGTCAATGATATATAAACTTTTTTCTTCTCCCAGTTTCAACTCTGGTCAAGTAGATTCTGCAGTTTTTGGAAGCATAATAAACCTGCAGCATTTGTTCTCCATTTTCAGCTTTACTGTAATGTGTGCTTGCTTAATTTTAAATCTGTTGCATCATTCTTCTGCCCAAATCCCACTGAAATGAGAGCTGGGCTATAAGTTAGACTTGCCATGAGTATCATATGGTATCTTCCAGTGAGTTTCCTATCAGAGCCAGTTTGGTGTAGTGGTTAAGTGTGCGGACTCTAATCTGGGAGAACCGGGTTTGATTCCCCTCTCCTCTACTTGCACCTGCTGGATGACCTTGGGCAAGTCATAGTTCTGTCAGAGGTGTTCTTGAAAAAGAGCAGTTTCTGTCAGAGCTCTCACAGCCCCACCTACATCACAGGGTGTCTGTTGTGGGGAGGGGAAGGAGTTTGTAAGCCGCTCTGAGACTCCAAGTGAAGGGTGGGGTATACATCCAATCACTTCTTGTTCTTGTTGTTCTTCTTCTTCTTCTCATGTGATTTCATACATTTCACTTTGTAAGTTGGGGGCCTTTCACACATTTCAATAGGAAGGTGTTGTGGCTCAACAATAGAGCTTCAGCTTGGCATGCAGAAGATCCCAGGTTCAATCCGCAGCATCTTCAGTTAGAAGGACCAGGCAGTAGGTGACGAGAAAGACCTCAGCCTGAGACCCTAGAAAGTCACTGCCAGTCTGAGTAGACTGCACTGACTTTGATGGATCAAGGGTCTGATTCAGTATAAGGCAGCTTCATGTATGTTCATGTGTTTTCACTGGCCAGACAAATATAGGGGATTTCCCCCCTAATTGCAATAGTGTTTGGACTAGATTTGCCATTTGAACATTAATCCTGAGGGGAGGGCGGGATATAAATTGGATAATGAATTAATTAATTAATCCTGATAACAGAATTTATTTCCTTCAAGTATACCCCCACCTTTCTTCTCCAGTAGGGGACCTAAGGCGGTTTACATCCTTCTTTTCTCCTCTGATTTATGCTCTCAACAACCCAGTGTGGTGCATTAGGTTGAGTGTGTTTGACTGACGTATGGTCACCCAGCAGGCTTCTATGGTAGTGCAGGAGGTTTGAACATGGAGTCTCCCAGATTCTAGCCTGACTCTCTGACCACTTCACCACTCTGGCACTCAACCAGTAAAGAACGTAAGGCGTGTCTCAGCTCCAAAAGGAAAAAAATATCCGAGATCATGGATGAGGAAAGGATTCTCTGGTCCTCAGAGTGTGGCTGAAAGGGACATGATAACACAGCACAATCTAAGATAATTTCAGCTGGGTAGCCATATTGGTCCGCAGTACAAGAGCAATGCCGTGACCCGGATGGGCTGGTCCGATCTCACGAAATCTCAGAATCTAAGCAGGCTGAGCCCTTGTCAGCAGGGGTCGTTTCGTAGAAAAAGAGCTAGGGGAACTCATTAGCATAACTCATTAGCATATGCCACACCCCCTGACATCACCGGAAGTGTGTCATAAGGCCACACCCCCTGACATCACCGGAAGTGTGTCATAAGGCCACACCCCCCGCCCCCAACGGTCCCTGCCGCTGCCGCTGGCCTTGCAGCTCCACTGCCGAGCCCCACGAGGGGCCCGGCGGTGGACCTGCAAGGCCGGCGGGAGTGCGAGGAAGCCCCGTGAAGGCCCTCCCTGGCCCCAGGCAGGCAGGGGTGGGGAGAGGCAGGGAGGAAGCAACTTACCCTCCCTCTTCTCCTGCCTCCTCCTGGCTGAATGAGGGCCGGAAGTGGGGTGGCCGGAAGCAGGGGGCGGGGCTTTGTCATGTGCCCCTCCCCCGTACCTCACCCGGGGGAACTGCGATCCCCCGCTTTCCCCCCCGAAATGACCTCTGCTTGTCAGTATTTGGATAGGAGACCCCCAAGGAATACGAGGGTTGCTACGCAGGGTCGTTGTTGTTGTTCAGTCGCACAGTCGAGTCTGACTCTTCGCAACCCCATGGACCAGCTCCCGCCAGGCCCTCCTGTCTTCCGCCGTCCTCTGAAGTTGGCTCAATTTCCTGTCCGTTGCATCGATGACACTGTATAACCATCTCATCCTTTGCCATCCCCGTCTTCTTTGACCTTCAGTCTTTCCCAGCATCAGGGTCTTCTCCAGCGAGTGCTCCCTTCTCATTTGGTGGCCAAAGTATTTGAGCTTCAGCTTCAGGATCTGGCCTTTTAGGGAACAGTCAGGGTTGATTTCTTTTGGGATTGACTGATTTGATCTTCTTGCAGTCCAAGGGACTCTGACGCAGAGTCAGGCAGGGGCAAACCACCTCGGAACATCTCTTGCCTTGAAAACCCTACGGGGTCGCCGTAAATTGACAGCAAAAAAAAGAAAAGAAAAAAGAGAGAGCAAGGTTTGAGTCTACGATCCCCCATAAAGAGCAACACGTTTCCCAGGGTCTCAGCTTTTGAGAGACAGAGCTATCTGATGAAGGGAGCTCGGACTCTTGAAAGCCTGTACCCTGGAAGTCTTGCTAGTGCAATCTAAGAACACTCCTGGGAGTAAGACCCGCCGAGTAGGCCTGTTTAGGATTGCATTGACAGCCAGCCTGCATAAATGGATCTGAGTCCGGTCAGTGCCAGAACAGGTGATTTTTTACTGGGAAGCGAGTAACCTTAAGTGCCCTGATGACAGACAAGAGGGATATATGCAAGACACAGTAATCAGTAAACGGTCTTGGATTTAGGTTCTCCCATTCCTCTCAAGCTGGTGATCAGCCCCGTCAAAGTCGATAGCATTGACAAACTGTTGATTAGCCTGGCATTGGCAGACGAACGTGCTCAGTCGGCGTCATGCCGGTAGCCCATCTACCCCCGGATCCGGCATCCAAATAAGGTGGGGCCGAAATCTGTTAGCGAGTAAATAATCAAGTTGTTTTTCATGCGGCGTGCTGCTATATGCTTGCCCCGATTGGCTTTCGCAGTGACGAGGGGGTTTGGAAAGGTACCCATTTCTCATTCTCTCTCTCTCTCTCTTTACCTTTTGTCACCATATGATGCTCAGGGACTCCAGAAAGCCTGGCGGAGAAAGAGCGGCAGCTCATGGGCATGATCAATCAGCTGACCAGTTTGCGGGAGCAGCTGCTGGCCGCGCACGACGAGCAGAAGAAGCTGGCTGCCTCGCAGATCGAGAAGCAGCGCCAGCAAATGGAGCTGGCCAAGCAGCAGCAAGAGCAGGTGAGGTGACGATTCAGGGGGCTTTTCGCTTTGCCTCCCTCTTTCTTGGTGGGGGAAGCTCATAACATGCCATTAACTTGCTCTTTCGGTTTGGCTGTGTGCACGGGAGCTGTTCTGCTGACACTCGGTTGAAGGTACTGGCTGTCACATACAAAACCCTTGCTGGCCTCGACCCATCTTGTTTGCAGGACGGCCTCTCTCTCCTGATGCTCTGCCACTCCTGTCAAGCAGAGGCTTATTTATTTATATTTATTTATTTAATTAGAATTTCCAGGCCGCCCTTCCCCACAAGCAGGGCTCAGGACGGCTTGCAACAAAGATAAATGCTGTCAATAATTGAGTTAACACCGGCAATAAAATACGTAATATGTAGATCAACAGATAAAACAATCCATTCCAAGATGGTGGGAAAATGTCAGCTTCCACAAGCCTTCTCGGGGGGTTGTGGAGAATGGAGGGTGTGAGAGTGTCAGACCATGTGTTGTTCCATCGTTGTCCTCAACCAAATGTCTGGCAGAACATCTCTGCCTTACATGCCCTGCGGAAAGGTAACGAATCCCGCAGGGCACGGATGTTGTCCGGCAGAGAGTTCCACAAGGCAGGGGCCAGGGCCAAAAAAAAGGCCTTGGCCCTGGCTGAGGGCAGCCGGATCTCTCTCGGGCCAGGGACCACCAGGAGGTTCTTACTTCCTGAGTAGCAATCTTCTGGGAAACGGGCAAACCAGCAAATGGGCAAAATCAACAACGGCCCCTACACGTGCTTCCTCTGTTGTGGCTCCCGCCTTGTGGAATGGCCTGCCCATTTCTCCCTGTCCCCATTGTATTTTCACAACAGTGTTAGGCTGAGAGGGAAAGTTCAGAAAAGGGCAACTCGATTGATAAAAGGGTTGGAACACTTTCCCTATGAGGAAAGGTTAAGGCGCTTCGGGCTCTTTAGCTTGGAGAAACGACGACTGAGGGGTGACATGATTGAGGTTTATAAGATTATGCATGGGAAAGAGCAGGTAGAGAAAGAGGTACTTTTCTCCCTTTCTAATAATACAAGAACTCGTGGGCACTCCATGAAATTGCTGAGCGGTTGGGTTAGAATGGATAAAAGGAAGTACTTCTTCACCCAAAGAGTGATTAACACTTGAAATTCACTGCCACAGGAAGTGGTGGCGGCTACAAGCACGGACGGCTTCAAAAGGGAATTAGATAAGCATATGGAGCAGAGGTCCATCAGTGGCTATTAGCCACAAGGTATAGCTAGGGGCTCTGGGGCAAGTGATGCTCTGTCTTCTTAGTGCTTTGGGGGGGGGGTCAACAGTGGGAGGGCTTCTAATGTCCTGGCCCCACTGGTGGACCTCCTGATGGCACCGGATATTTCTGGCCACTGTGTGATACAGAGTGTTGGACTGGATGGGCCTTTGGCCTGATCCAACATTGGCATCTCTTATGTTCTTATGACTGGCTCAAATTCACCTCGCAATCTTCACGGCCAAGTGGGAATTTGAGCTCAAATCTCCCTCGCCCTGCTCCAGTGCTTTAACCACTATACCAAATGGAGGGGGAGATCTGAGCGACGGTCTCCACTAATGAAAGGTCCTTCCTTCAGTGGAACTGAACTCCCCTCACTCTGCAGCCTACCGATTGCTCCAGAAGTCTGCTCCCGGGGGATGGGGGGGCACTCGGTAGCAGCACGCGGGATCAGTCAGAGGTCTGCAGTGGGGAGCAGGGGGAATGGACAGAAATCTCCCCCGTCCATCACTGGTCGTTATCTTCAGGAGCAGAGAGGATGAAGGAGAGCGAGGTGCAGAATAGAAAACTGTATTTAACGCTTGCGGATCCAACCCATGGGCTGTCAAGAGAATGGTTATGAAATTTCTCCTTTGTGTACAGCCAGGTGCCTGTATTTGTTGATTTCATTTATACCCCACCTCTCTTCCCAGTGGGGCCCCGAAGCAGCTAACATTGTTCTCCTCTCCTCCGTTATTCTCACAACCACCCTGCGGGGTAGGTTGGGCTGAGAGTGTGTGTCTGGCTCAAGGCCACCCAGCCATCTTCCATGGCAGAGTGGGGATTTGAACCTGGGTCTCACACATCCTAGTCGTACTTTCTGACCATTGGCCACTCACATCAAGGAGAAGCCCCCCCTTGACTATCTCCCCCCCCCCACATTCTTGCATGTATGGGAGGGGGAAATAACATTGCACGTGGAAGAGTTCATTCATTGCCTTAATGCCTTCAGGAATTTGGGGGACTGATGCGAGGTGGTACGGTCCAAGCGAAGCATAAAGTACCTGTCTGCAGGGGTCATTTCCTGCAGGAGCGCACAGGAGCGGAACTCCGGCAGTAAAGAGCCCAGGAGGCGGGCACATGCAACAAGCCCCACCCCCTGCTCCCAGCAGCCCTCAGTCAGAGCAAGAAGCAGCCAGGCAAGCTGCAGAGCCCCGGCCCAATACAGTCCAGTGGCACCTTTAAGGCCAAGTTTTATTCAGGTGGGTGAGCCGGTGGGTGTTGCCTTCTGACACACTTCCGGTGATGTCAGGGTGTGTGGCATATGCAAATAAGTTATGCTAATGAGTTATGCTAATGAGCTCCTGCACCTCTTTTTCTATGAAATGACCCCTGCCTGTCTGTCTGATTTCTAGAAGAAGAGTGGGTTGGATTAGACCCTCCCCAGTTAATTATCTTGTCTTTTGACCCCCCACAGATTGCAAGACAGCAGCAGCAGCTCCTGCAACAGCAACACAAAATTAACCTTCTTCAGCAACAGATCCAGGTCAGAGACTGTGCATTTACCCATTCATTTACTCTAATTTTCTCTCTTGTTCTTTTCCGCCACCTACAATTCAATTATTTATTGTCGCGTATGAGCAGGATGATGTCTCTAGGTATGCATGGTGTAGACTGGTGTTGCTTTCGGATCTCGAAACATTAAAGGCCGTACGAGAGCCATGAATATGGTTGTACACATTTGCTCACGTCTTTGTGTCTGTTGTGCAGTTGTTGCATAAATGACTTCCTGAGAGCCACACCTTGTGTTCACAGATGTCTGTTTCTAGTCCTCTTGAAACCCGAGGGGATGGGAGACTTTGGTTTGTATCTGAACATTCATGCACTGAAGGCATATATTGTTTTCCCCACAATCCTCTCCATTCCTGCCACCACTTCTATCCCCCAGAAATATTTCCTTTCGTTTCTTAGATATTTATATCCTGATGTTCTCCTTAATGGGGATCCAAAGTGGCTTACAGCATCACTCTCCCCACTTCAATTTTGTCTTCGCAGCAACCCTGTGGGGTAGGTGAGCCTGAGAGTATGGCTAGCCCAAGGTCACCCAGAAAGCTTTCGGGGCAGAGTGAGTTCTCCCTAGAGTTGCCAGGTCCCTCCTGGCAACCGGCTGGGGAGCGGGGGACTTACCAGGAGCAGCAGGGAGGCCCATCCAACTTGCAGCGAGGTGTCTGCTTCACTGCCCACATGACCTGGAAGTGACATCATCACATCTGGGATGCCAGGGCAATGCTCTGGTATTTGGGCAAAACTCTATGGTAGATTTGGCTTCTTGCATAGAGTTTTTGCCCAAATACCAGGGCGTTGCCCCCGACATCCCAGATGTGATGACATCACTTCTGGGTCGCATGGGCAGTGACATAGAAAAGGGTAGGTTCCCCCTGCCAGCCAGCTGAATGATGGGGAGGTGGGTCATGTCAGCAGGGGACCACTGTCCCCATTAGGCTTGCCAAGTCCCCCCGGGGGGCGGGGAACTCCTGTCACAGAGGCCCGTTCCCCACTGCTGGCGGATCAGGCCCCGGGGGGAACCCCACCCCCAAAGCACAGGACGTGCCCGGCATTAGCACATCACCTTGGAAGTGACGCAGCCACGCCGGGCGTGCCGGGGGCGGGGCCGTGGTCATCCGAGGGAAAACTCTGTTTTTTCCTCGGATGACCGCAGCCCCGCCCCCGACGCGGCCGCGTCACTTCCGGGTGATGTGCTCGCGGCGCTCTGGGAGCAAGCCGGGAGTCCCCCGCTGCGGCTTAAGGTAGGACTTGGCAACCCTAGTCCACATCGTGTGTGTGGGGGGGTGTCTGGCAACCCTAGGTCTCCTAGCTGAACCCTGTAACCACTACACCATGCTTGCTGTCATTTCTGGGGTCCTGGAATCTTTGCAGAGGAACGTCTTTCAGGGGTTACAGCGTTGGAGTAAAGAAGGACAAGGGCAGGAAATCACACCCTCCTCTCTGCAGAGCCGTGCTTGGAGAAGAACATAGAAAAACTGCACGTTCTGTGTGTTCATAGCCGGATACAGGCCTCTGGATGGGATTGCCAACCGCCAGGTGAGGCCCAGAGACGTCTTGGAATTGCAACTGATCTCTAGACTACGGAGATCAGTTCCCCTGCAAGAAGAAGGAGGAAATGGCTGCTTTGGAGGATGGACTCTTATGGCGTTATACCCTGCTCTCCAGACTCCCCCCCCCAAATCTCCAGGTGTTTTCCAACCCAGAGCTGGCAACCCTACACCAAAGGTTTCTCTGTAATATAATTGGGAAATGGTGAGGATAGTCAAAAAAGGTCTGGAATGTGTTAAGATATTTTTCATACTTTGCAGTTCTTTGTGAGGTTCTTTGTGATCTGCAGCTCTAGTAATATTGTGTTCCTCGTTCCTTTTCATTTGTGTGTGTGAGTGAGTGAGAAAGAGCGTGTAAAAACCTATATTTCCGTACTTACCGTTGGTGAGGATTCATCCTCCTGTTGTAGATTTAACGGACAGTGTTTTGAACTGGTGAAGCTACAGCCTGCCCCTGTGGTGGGCGTGGCCAACTATCTCAATACCACTTTCTGGTAAGGGAGTAGTAAGTTCTGTTGGGGGAGAGAGGTTGAACTTTGGGTTCTCGTTGCTACTGACTTCCATAATCTGTGATAGACTACGGGCCTTGAGAGGATCCCTGACTCGCCACCTTTGAAAGACATACCTAGAAGTCCCTGAAAGGGATCATTGGCTTGCTCATCAGGTAAGGTTGTCAACCTCCAGCTGGTAGCTGGAGAGCTCCTGGGATTATGACCGATCGCCAGGTGATGGAGAAAAATTCCCCTGGAGAAAATTGCTGCTTTGGAAGGTGGACTCTATGACATTGTACCCCACTGGAGTCCCTCTGCCCCCAAACCCCACCCTCCTCTTGTTCCACCCCCCAAATCTCCAGGTATTTCCCAACCTGGAGTCTGCAACCCTATCACCATGCACTCTGGGGTTACTGGACATAGACACATTTGTTAAAAAATCAGCTGGCTCGTGTATGGATGAGGTTCAGTAGTCTGAACTGACTTCCAGTCCACAATGATGATGATGATGATGATGATGATGAAGAAGAAGAAGAAGAAGAAGAAGAAGAAGAAGAAGAAGAAGAAGAAGAAGAAGAAGAAGAAGAAGAAGAAGAAGAAGAAGAAAAGAGATTGGGTTTATACCCTGCCCTTCACTCGGAGTTTCAGAGTGGCTTACAAACTCCTTTCCCTTCCCCTCCCCACAACAGACACCCTGTGAGGTGGGTGAGGCTGAGAGAGCTCTCTCAAGAACTGTCCTTGAGAGAACAGCTCTGAAAGGACTTGTAACTGACCCAAGGTTATCCAGCCAGGTGCAAGTGGAGAAGTGGGGAATCAAACCCGGTTCTCCCAGATTAGAGTCCGCGCTCTTAACCACTACACCAAACTGGCTCTCAGCCTCTGTGCCCTCTTTATTTGGCCCTCCCAGGCAGCTGATGGTCCATTGTATGAAACTTTATTTTGGACTCGTTGGACCACTGGTCTGATCCAGCAGTGTCTACTTACAGTCTCATGTTCTCTTTGAAACCTGTTGAGGATCGCACTGTAGATGGCCCGTGGTTGTGTCCAGGAGATAAAAGGTAAAGGTTCCCTTGCTCGAAAGCCAGTAGAATCCGACTCTAAGGTTGCGGTGCTCATCTCCGTTTCCAAGCTGAAGAGCCAGCGCTGTCTGAAAATATTTCCATGGTCATGTGGCCGGCATGACGAAACACCAAGGCGCACAGAACGCTGTGACCTTCCCACCGAAGTGGTCCCTATTTATCTACTTGCAATTTCTTGCTTTCGAATTGCTAGGTTGGCAGGAGCTGGAACTAGAGACGGGAGCTCACTCCGTCATGCAGCACACTTGGGTCTCGAACTCCTGAACTACTGACCTTCCACAGCCTGCAGTTCAGCATCTTAACCCCTTGAGCCACCGCAGCTCCTGTCCAGGAGGACCTTCCATCAATTCTCTAGGCCAGTTTTTCAACACCCCAACTTGACTTTGGCCCTTACGTTTCATAAGTTAATATCTACTCAGGGTCTTTCTTTGGCTTGAACCAAATAGCTGTGTGTTGTTGTTTTTTTAAATCCCAGCTCCATCGCTGTATGAAAGTGTGGCCTTTGCTCCCTCCTTGTCCTCGCCTCCCTTGCGACATAATCAATGCAATTGGCCGGACGGGAGCATGAGAAGAAGCCGCTTGTGTTTTTCCGTCGCTCTGTGTGCGCGCGTGTTTGTGTCTGCGCAACAAGGGTTTTTGAAGGCTGCCTCTCTTTTTTTTTTGCAACCGTGCCCTTGTACATATGGAAAAGCGCAGCATGAAGCAAAGGGTGCCAAAGGGAGAGACAGAAAAGCATCGTTGTCCATTGAACTGACCTACTAAGGGGAACATTAGTACGCCATATGATTACCGTCTCATCCATGTGGAGAATGTAGAGTCGGGAGCACTTTTGTTTGGCAGCCAAAAAAGAGGCGGCTGCCGCTGCAGGGAAGGGTGTTTTTTTCCCTCTTTTCTTTTTTGGGAAAAAAAAGAGAGAGAAAAGATTCAGGCGAGATAACAATACATTTTTTTACTGCCGGCTGGTGGAGGTGTTTAGGATGTGTTTTCTTTATATCTCCGTCCGCCCCTAATTGACGATGCTTTAAAATTGAATGACTAGCAGTCAAAACGTGTTTGCTTCAAGCTGAGAAGAAAAATGCCGGTGTCTGTGCTTCCAAACTGATTGCGCTTTGTACACAACTGACAGCCGCAGTCACTTTGAGTGACTGATAAGTAGGAAGCTTTGCCACTTATCAAGGAATGTGCAGGGGGGAAAAAAGAAAAGGACTCTGAGCCATTCAGATGCGTTGGCATGTTCAAAATAACATCTCACATCAGTCAGGCTGGCGAGGCACTAGGAGACGTTTCAAAATAAACTTTTGTATCCATCTATCTAGCTATCTGGAGGCAAAGATTCAATTTAACAGACAAATCGCCGCGCGGTATCGAGTCGTTTGCTGAAAAGGAGAACATCATTATAACGGCCAACGAAATGGCTGGGATTTCTACATCTTCGGGCAGCCCTTGTCAGCTCAATGCCCTCCCCCCAATTCAATTCTGAATATTCAGTATCTTTGATCACGGGTAGTCCGTCCCGTGTCACGGGAGTGAAGGTGCCATGATGTAGCCCGATCCCATCAGATCTTGGAAGCTTGGATGCTTAGATGGGAGACCCCCCAGGGACAACTCTGCAGAGGAGGTCAATGGCCAACTACCTCTGCTTCTCACTTGCCTAGAAAGCCCCTTGCTGGGGTCCCCATAAGGCTTGGATGAGAGACCACCAGGGAAGGCTCTGCAGAGGCAGGCCATGGCAAACCACCTCTGCTTCTCCCTTGCCTAGAAAGCCCCTTGCTGGGGTCCCCATAAGGCTTGGATGAGAGACCACCAAACTACGTCTTGCGCCTGGCTTGTTGGATGTGGCTTGTACTTGCTGTGATCTGTTGT